TATCCTGGGTTGCTTGGGAGCGTCTTGGGCCCTTCTTTGACGCTGTGGGGGCTTCTTGGGGTCGTCTCGGACTGTCTTTCGGCATTGTGGGGGCTCCCCGGGAGGCCGGGAAACGCGGTACGGGGAGCGTGCACCAGATGCGAGCGAGGTGGAGGACGCCCCGGGAAGGACCCGACCTATTTTTATTATATATATATATATATGTATATATACATATATGTACAAACATATTCATATATGTGTATACATATATATATGTATATATATATACACATGTATGCAAGAGGATCCCTGCCCACTCCGAGACGAAGGCAAGGCGAGAATACATTCGGATAGGGGCTGGGAATCTCGGAGAGCTGGCGGGTCTGGGGGACGCATCGGGCGCCGCGGCCGTTCCAGATCTCCCTGGGCACGTTTCTGGAACGTGCAAGGGGCCCAGGGACACACAAAAAATAGACACAAATCCCAGGATTCCCCACATTCTTTCATGTTTGTTTGATTTTCGTCTTCCCCCCCACTTCCGATGTGTTCCATACTTTCTGGGGAATCGACGATTATTTGTGTCTGTGTTTTTTTTCTTCCTGGAACGTTCTGGAGCGATTTATCCCCTCGTCCTGGGCCTGCTCGACAGCCCCCTGCTCCTCGTCCTGTCTGGGACTCGCGGGTGCACCCGACAAAGACTCCTGCCCGCTCCCAACCCCAGACCTCCCACGCATAGATCAAATCAAGACGGCTTCTCTTCAACATTTTCGGCCTTTGGGGGCCCTCGCTGGGCCCCAGGCCCAGGGTAGGACTCGGGGCCTGCGAGGGCAATTTCTGGTGGCGCTGCGGACGTCAGAAGAAAAACGATTCGGGATGGGAAGCCTCTCTGGAAAGAGGATTCGGGGCTTCTGGGAGCGCCGTGCAGTCGAATTCGATTGGAGGGGGCGTGCCAGAGGACACAAGACCCTTCCGAGCGCCACTTCGCCACAGGAACGTAACAAACATGGGCCGCTAGACGCGCGAAGGACGACCTACTACCGGAAACTCGCCATCGCTCGGACGTCCATTTCCCGTGCATTTTTCGGCTTCGTGCGTGCTTTTTTTGCTCGATGGTCCAGGACCGTCCTCAATGGACCTCGCCGAAAAACAATGCACACGTCCGAGCGATGCCAGGGAAACAGCCATGATCTCTGTGCCTGGGTCGACCTTCTACCGGAAACGACCCTGCTCTCCGGGCCTGGGCAAGGAAGCTGGTCACGGCCGGCCCTCCGGGCGGGAGCCAATGCTGCCTGCAGCCCAAGTGCCGGCGCGCACGCAGAGGGCCGCGCGGGGGGTGCGGCGTTCGAAGGCGCTAAACCCTAAAAGCTAGGAGCCTATAAAGATTTAAATCCTGAAATCCCTTCAGCGCCCCTAAAGTCCCCCCCTTCAGCCGCCCCCCCCCCTTTTGGCGCATCCCTCACGCAGATCCTTGCCCTCGGAGCGCCAGGAATGGCGTTCTGGGAGGATCTGCAAATCCCACGGTGCGCCCCTCACGCAGATCCTTGGCCTCGGAGCGCCAAGAATGGCGTTCTGGCCCCATCCGCAAATCCCAGGACGCACCCCTCAGAGCCTTGCCCTCGGAGCGCCAGGAATGGCGTTCTGGGAGGATCTGCAAACTCCCGGAGTACCGGGAGTGGCGTTCTGGGAGAGCCTGCGAAAGTGCAGGGTGCTCCCCTCGCCCAGACTCGTGGCAGACGTTCATGGCCTCGGTATGCCAGGCATGGCGTCAGTACTGTCCTTCGCGAAAGGTACGGGCGCGACCTCGACCCTTTCGGGTTGAGAGCCGCCCCCGTGCCCTTCCCCAGGGGCCGCCCCGTGGAGGCTTGCACGCAACATCGACAGGCGCGTCGGTCCTGCGTCGCACAGGGGCTCGCGTCAATAAGCGTGGATCTTGCGTGCAACCTCTCCGCCGCTGGGCGGCGTCCCTGCATCGCACAGGGACTCGCGTCAAAAAACGTGGTTCTTCAAATCGCGTCGTCACGCGCGCGGGCCGCATCGCCGTTGCAGCCGCGTCCCAGGTGTCTTTGCGCGGCCGCGTCGTCGTCGTTTTGAAAACAATATCAACGTCGTCGTCATCGGTGTCGTCCTCGTCTTCGTTTTGCGAGTCGCGTGTTGATACCGCATCGAGATCAATATGTCTTGGGTCATGGGTGGGTGGGACACGGTCAAGTGGGCTGCAAGTTTGGGCTAGTGGACCCTCAACCCTAAACCCTAAACCCTCAACCCTAAACCCTAATACCAGAGGCTTCTCAGACGGCAGGCGCCTTCTCAGAGCCCTCTCGGCTTCCAAGAAGCCTTCTTTCTGGGGCGCGCGAACATGGATTGACGATCCATGGGTTTGGCGCGCGGTCGCCAAATCCATGGATCGGGGGAGGTGCTCTCCCCAACCTGCGGCCGGTGCCGCCTTGTTCGGCGGCGGAAATCCGCGATTTCCCATGGAATCGGGACCCGTCGCTAGGTGAGCGTTTTTTATTCGGCGTTTCGACATTGGTCGGAAAGGGGGAGGGAGGGGGGGGGTCTGGCTCCAGACCTCTGCTTAGTGCGGCTGTTTGCGACAATGCGTCCCGTGAGGGGAGACGCCACCTGCTCTAAACAGGCGCCAACAAACAGCCAAGATCTACTCCATAGGGGGGGGGGAAGGGGGTGGTTTGCGAGGGCCCGCGCCGATCGGCAGAAGAATGAAGAAAAAAACGCTCACCAGTCCACGCCCCCTTGGATCCATGTTTGCGATCGCCTGACTCTTGGAAACCTCACAAAAGGCCCCTTCGGGGATCTTCGGGCCCTGGTCAAACCAGACCCGGGTCAGTCAGCCCCTGCAGAATCCTGCAAGATCCTGCGCCCAAGCCCGGGCGAACGCGAAGGACCCAGCAAGACCCCGCAGGGATCCTGCACCCGAGCCCGGGTTTCAGTGCGCCCCTGGCCCTGCAGGATCCTGCAAGCTCCGGCGCTCAACAAATCAACAGCTTGAATCAAATGAAAGAGGACTTATTGAGTGCCAATGCAGCTGCGATTGTAGGGGCAAATTTCAAGATTAAAGATTTAGAAGAGACAATCGAATCATTGACACAGACAGCTACTGAACTCTCTGGCTGACCCCCGCTTGTATTGACCCCCGTCTCTTGGAGCCCTGGCCCCTGCCCTCGGATAAGCTCCCGGCCTCGCTGGGAAGCGGCCCCCCCCGCGCCGCCCCCCTTGCGCGCGCCGCCCGGGCATGCTCGGTTCCGCCAGAGGCCCTGGAGGGTGACCTGTCCTGCTTCTTCCCGCTTCCTTGCCGTCCCCTCGTGCCCCCTCGTCCCCTCGTGCCCTCCTCCTTGGGGTCATAATAAACCGAATCGTCCTTGGAGTCATGGTAAATAAATGGAATCCTTGTCGTCCTCGTGCCCCTCCTCGGGGTCAGAATATATGGAATCGGAGGATCGTGCCGCATCGCCGATGCGGCGCGATCCTCCGACCCCACCTGCTGACCTGGAGATATCTGGCGGCGAGGAAAGATCAAAGCTGCTGGAGTTAGGTCGGGGTCGGGCATGTCCCACAAATGGTCCAACACAGAAACAAATCCTCCCCGGACTACTCTAGTATTTTGGAGTACTCCTCCTGTAGAGGGACACGCCCGCCTTAAAGAGATCTGACGGCTCGGAAAGATCAGGGCTGCTGGAGGCCAGATTCGGTCGAGGAACACATGACGGCATAAGCATAAACTCTTGGAGCTCCGCGCGGACTTCTTGGATCGGTGCTGGCTCTCCCCGCTGCCGTCGTCGTCGTCGTCGTCGTCGTCGTCGTCGTCGTCGTCGTCGTCGCCGCCGTCGTCGTCGTCGCCGTCGTCGTCGTCCGTCTTCTCCTCCTCCTCCTCCTCATCCTCCTCCTCCTCCTCCTCCTCCGCCTCCTTCTCTTCCTTTTCTTCCTCCTCCTCCTCCTCCTCCTCCTCCTCGTCACCTCCCCCATCCCTCTCCCCCCTCCTCCTCGTCTCTCGTCGTCGTCGTCGTCGTCGTCGTCGTCGTCGCCGTCGCCGCCGTCGTCGTCGTTGTCGTCGTCGTCGTCGTCGCCGCCCTGCCGGCGGGTCCGCAAAGGGGCGGGCAGAGGCGCCTCCAGGGTGCGCAGGCTCACGGGGAAGGCGGCCAGGGCCCGCAGCCCGCCCCTGCCCGTGCCGCCCTCGACCACGCCCTTCGCCATCGGCTCGCACCTCTGGGCGAGGCCAAAAGGAAGCCAGGACGGGGGCAGCAGTAGAGGCCTCTCAGATTCGAGCAGGGGATCGACTACAGGACTGACTTACCCTATAATGCATTTGCTCGTCGAATCTACGGGAATTATGCAGTGTTCGCTAGATCGACGAACATTCTACGTATTTTGATTAAGTTCGACGAGACAATCAATTCGAGGGTGAATCAACTCTGTAGTCGGTCCCCTACTCGATAGGTGGGGTCCGAGTGGATGGGGTCGAAGGATCGCGCCGCATCGCCAATGCATCGCCGATGTATCGGCTCGGCGATGCATCGGCGATGCACTGGCGACGTCGTCGATTCATCGGCGACGTCGGCGTGGGGCAAATCGGGCCCCACATCGCGCCGCATCGCCGATGCATCGCCGATGCACCGGCGATGCGGCGCGATCCTCCGACCCCATCTACTCGGACCCCATCTGGGAGGCCCGGAACCTCTGGGCGAACCGAAAACGCAGCCAGGATTAGGTCGGGCCTGTCCCCCTACAGGGTGATTTTCGACGAAAAATTAAAAATATGCAAAAATGCTCCCAAATGGTAAAAAAATACTCGAAACATAGTTTCCTGATTATTTTTTGACTATTTTTGAATATTCCCTCTGGAGAAGGACAGGCCCGACTTAAAGCCAGGATGGGGGCAACATCGGATCGTCGGGGGTTGGCAGAACTGGGTTTAAGGGAACCTGGTTTAGTGATTTGTACCGGGGGCGCGCCCCCGTTCCATTTCCACGAACCGGAACTGCCGTCACCCGAAAAACACCAATTACGGCAAACCTGGCTTAGTGAATCTGGCCAATTGAGGGGCCCCAGGACCCTACAACTGTCCCCTTACCCGGGGTCCTGGCTACCAATCGGTCGGAAGAAGTAGGTAGAAACATGAAGTAGGAAGGCGTTGAACATAGATTGGGTTCCGCCCGCCCCCTACGAGGGACGGAAAAGGTGAAGCCACTCGATCATTGAAGTAGAAGGGCGCTTAAAGCAGATTGGAATCTGGGAATCCAAAAAGACCTACTTTCAACGACCGATGGCTACACCCGAGATCGGGAAGGACCCTGGGGCTTCCCGCGTGCCGGGGCGTTTTCTCGTGAGGGCCCCCCCAAACGGATCATCAAGACGGCCCCGAGAGGCCCCGAACACGGCCCAAGAAGGCCCAGTCCCTTCTCCTCCTCCCCCTCCTCCTCCTCCTCCTCCTCCTCCTCCTCTTCCTCCTCCCTCCTCCTCCCTCCTCCTCCTCCCTCCTCCTCCTCCTCCCTCCTCCTCCTCCTCCCTCCTCCTCCCTCCTTCCTCCTCCTCCTCCCTCCTCCTCCTCGGGAAGGACCCCGCGCCGGGCGCAAACATCACCACGGGCCAGCCTTCGCAGCTCGCTCGGCGCCTCTTGGCTCTGGGGCCCTCGCCGGCGCACGGCTCTGGGCCGCCGGCGCAAGTCTCGGGAAGAGAAAGCCGACCTCCAGGGGCCCACGTCGGGAAAAGAAAAAACACGACGTCGGAGGTCTGCCTGAAGGGGGAAAGATCGACGTGGACTTAGGTCGACGGGGCCCACGTCGGGAAAAAACACGACGTCGGAGGTCTGCCTGAAGGGGAAACATCGACGTGGACTTAGGTCGACGGGGCCCACGTCAGGAAAAAACACGACGTCGGGGGGCTGCCTGAAGGGGGAAACATCGACCTGGCCGACGGGGTCCACGTCGGGAAAACAACACGACGTCGGAGATCTGCCTGAAGGGGGAAACATCGACCTGGACTTAGGTCGGCGGGGTCCACGTCGGGAAAAAAACACGACGTCGGGGGGCTGCCCGAAAGGGGAAAGATCGACCTGGCCGACGGGGCCCCCGTGGGGAAAGCAATAACACGACGTCGGAGGTCTGCCTGAAAGGGGGAAAGATCGACCTGGACTTAGGTCGGGCATGTCCCCCATACAGGCCGATGTTCGGCGAAAAGTCAAAACATACTCAAAACATGCTCCAGAATGGTAACGACAAATACGAGAACAATCGCCCCCAGACTATTTTTTTAACTACTCTTGAGCATTCCTCCTGTGGAGGGACGTGCCCGGCTCAAACCTGCACTCGGCCCCCGATCGCGAATCCGCGCGGTCCAGGGCGGGGCTGGCTGTCGGGCCCCCATCGGCGCAGAGCGGACGGCTGGGGATCGATGCGCTCCCTCCTGAGCCTATCCCCCCCTAATTGAAGGGGAACTGGGACACACAAATAAATACACACAAATAAACATATCCCTATATTTTCCAATATTTTCTGGGTTTTTGTCTTCCCCCCCAATATCTTCCCATATTTTCTGGGGAATTGACGATTCATTGTGTCTGTGTTTTTTTTTTCCCCTCCTGACTAATGTTGCCCCTGACGAGTGCCTCCACGCTGGCTCTCGGACCGCAGTCGACTCGGGCACCCCTGGACGGCTCTCGACGAGGCGCAGCGGATGGAAACCACCCCAGGCCCCGAACACCTCCGAGAGCCCTGAACACTCCCCGAAGCCTTGCGTCCCCCGCGGAGCCAATCCCCTGGTGGTCTCCGGGCCATCGCCTGCCTCTCGGGACGATCCCGACCGCCCCGGGAATTTCCGGCGAGGCGCGGCCGCCGGAAGGCACCTCGAGGCCGGACAACCGCCGAGAGCCAACGAAAGCGCCCCCCCCTAACGTTGCCCCTGATGTGGGGAAAGCGCCGCCGCCAGGGGCGCGCTGGTCGGGGCCAGCCCATGCAGTGCCACCAGCCCAGCAGGCCAGACAGTACAGCCATCGTGCTACCACAGGTATACGGTGCATACATTGTACTCATACAGTGGGGGCCCATGCCGAGGAACACCCTGCTTGCCTCCAGGGTGCCCTGGGTTTCTTGGGTTTCGCTGGTTTTGCGGTGGAAATCATGACGTGCCCACACCGAACATCCATGGACGTCCTGGATTCTCAGGGTTGGGTTTCTTGTGGACAATCTCTTGCGGACTGGCCCCCACTGCACGGTGCATCCCTATATACATGGAGAACACTGCTCGGGGACAATCCCGGGGCCGGCCAGGGAGCCTGATTCCCGAGCGCCCTAGGAGTATCCACGACGGCCCCAGATGGCCCCAAGACGGCCACGACGAGGCCCCCGATGACCCAGGTGGCTTCAGGATGGCCCGACGAGCGCTCGCAGACGGCCACGATGGGCCCAAGATGGCCACTCGACGGCCCAACGGGCTCCCCGGATGGCCCAAGGGGGCCCGAAGACGACTCCCGAGAGGTCTTCGGGAGGCAGAGCTTATGGGCTTTCC